CTCCCTTTCCCTCCCACCCCTGGTAACCTTTAAGGAATGTTTCTGTGTGTAAACCTTTTCTTGACTTATTACAATAGTGGTCTCGTATGATAGTTATCTTTTTGTGAGTGACTGATTTCACTCTGCGTAATGTCTTCTAGGTTCATCCATGCTATGAATTGTTTCACAGATTCATCATTATTTTTTAATGTTGTGTAGTGAGGAATATACCTTTTATTGAAAATTTTTAAAACAAGGCCAAACTAGTTGCCATAGAGTCACTGTCCACTCATAACCACAATGTGTGTATCAGCTCAGAAACTGTGTTCCGTAGGGATTTCAGTGTCTGATTTTTCTGAAATAGATCACAGGGCTTTCTTCCAAGACACCTCTGGGTGGATTTGAACTTCCAACTTTTTAGTTAGCAGCCAAGTGCATTAATCATTTGCACCCCCCAGGGACTCCATTTATTGACAATAACCCACTGTCATGGGGTTGATTCTAACTCTTAGTGACTCTATAGGACAGAGTAGAACTGCCCACATAGGATTAACAAGGCTGTAAATCTTCATGGAAAGCAGACAGACTCATCTTTCTCCTGCAGAGCAGCTGGTGGGTTTGAACTGCTGACCTTTTGGTTAGCAGCTGAATGCCTTAACCACTGCCCCACTGGATCTCCTTTTATTGATAGTGAAAGTCAATAAAAGAAAACCTACAACCAAGTAAATACAGAGTCTTTCTTCTCTCTGGGAGTCAGAGTGATCTCTTACTTGACTCTGTTGTGTTCTAGAGTCCCAGAAAATGTAAGTTATTAGATGCATTAGGTATGGAGAGTGGAAACTCATTCTGTGGTATAATAAAGCTGAGGAACAATACGTGAGTCCCTCACTAGAAATCTTTCACCATTTTATGAAAAATCATAATCCATTGTTGAAACAGTTTGGAGAGAAGGAAAGGTATTCCTTTATATTTTATCTTAGCCTCTCTTTTAAATTTTCATTGTGATTTGGGTGCAGATGTACAAAGCAGATTTGTTTTACTCTCAACAGTTCACACACATTTTGTTTCATGGCACCAATTACAATCCCAACAATAAACAGCTCTCTTCCCATCTCCTCCCTGTGACTCCCCCTTCCCTGTGTCCTTCTTAGCTATGCATTTCTGTCTCTCCAAACATCTCCCAATGCAAATGCTGCCCTTCTGATCTCTCATAGATTCATCTAAGGGGTGCATCTCCCTGGGGCAGGTGGGTACATTTCCCCAGGGTAGGTATTCTGTTCATAGGTTTTTCTACTGTTTGGCTGAGAGGTAATCCATGGAAGTAAGTCCAGTTCCAGGCCTGAAGGATAACCCAGGGCCATAGTCTCAGGGGTTTCACCAGCCTGTATCCAACCAATAATTCTGGTCATTTTTGTGTTTTTGAATTTTGTCCCACATTTCCCCTCCCATTCTATCCAGGATCTCTAATTTTTTATCCCTTTCCAAGTGGTTGGCATTAGTAGCCAGGCACTATCTAGTTCTTCTGGTCTCAGGGTTGTAAAGCTGAGGTTCCCGTGGCCAGCCTTTCTCTCTTTAAAGGAGACCAATACGTATGAAATAATTAGAAAACAAATATGTGCTAACCCATACAAAATTGCCTATAAATGCAATAGCATGACAGAGAGTTAATCAGCAAGTGTTTGTTGAGCATGTTTTTTGTTTTTTGTTTTAAGGTTGTTGTGCAGTTAAATGGCAGTTATTATCCATTCAGAGTGTTTAAACCAATTAGCAGCCTGTGGTAAATTGCTGGCTATTGAGCATGTTCCTAACTATGCAGGAAAAAGCAGAAGACGGGCTTTGCCCTCAGGTTGCTTACAATCTGTTTGAGGACACGAGCCACTTTATGAAACAACAGAGCTGACACATTACAAAATATAATGACATAGTAAACCGTGGGGCACAGATGCTATGAAGTTAGGAAGACAGAAACTTCCCTGATGGGCAGAAATGGTGGGGGTCTGAGGGTTTGAGCTAGAAGGACAGGGAAACTTTTAATAAGGTTAGAAGAAAACGACATGGCAACAGCATAGCACACAAGCCAATGAAAAGAGCCGATCAAATTAAACAGAAGTGAGAACCAGAGCTGAGAAAACTGGCGGGTGGAGTACCTAGGAGGTTTAGAAAGCCTATCGGTGTTTAGATTCCAACTGTAGGCTACAGGGAATCAATGATGGTTTTTATAAGGCAAGTGGTGGGATGAAAGCAATGTTTCATGAGGACTAGCCAACCAGCCCAACTGGGATGGACTAGAAGAGGAAGAATCTGGAAGCTGGAAATAAAACAAAAAACAAACAAACAAAAAACTGTTGTGGCAAACCTAAGGCAGGTGCTTAGGAGCTCAACTATGGAGGTGGTGGAGGAAACAGATAGGACAGAGGTAACAGACAATACTAAGAATTGGCAACACTTGGTGAGTGACTTCACATACCACTGCTATCGAGCTGAAAGAGTAGAATTTCCCCCATAGGCTTAGTTTCCAAGGCTATAATCTTGACAGATGCTGACTGCCACATCTTTCTCCCATAGAGAGTCTGGTGGGTTTGAACTGCTGACCTTTTTGTTAACAGCCAAGTGGCTTTAACCATTGTGCCATCAGAGCTCTCGACTTCACACAGAGGAGGGAAAAAAAAAAGTGATGTCAGGAAGGACTAAAGTTTCTGGTCTGATAGTCTCTAAGAGGGTTGGCAGAATTGGTAGGGGGAAGAGAAGATGAATCTGCTTTTATTCCTATTAGATGTCACGTGACAGTGGAATAGCCAATGAGAATATTCAGCAGGCAGCTGGGAATGCAGAAACCTGACCTTTGTCTCAGTATACTCAGGGAAAGATGAATCATACAGATGTCTTAAGATAGGGGCAAGGCAACAAATATTTCAGAAAAGTGGGAAGTAAAGTCATCTTCTAGGGGAGAGTGGCAAGAAGAGACACTTTATTTTCATTTTTTTTTTTTTTTTACAGTGCAGAATTTGTTCTACATTCAACAGTTCATGTGCATTTGGTTTCACTCCCCAATCACCATCCCCAACCCTAACCCACTCTCCTCCCCTCCCTTCCCTGTGACCCTCCCCTTCCCTGTGCCCTTCACTCCTGTCTGTCCAGCTTTTCCTCAGTGTGAATGCTGCCCCTCTGGTGCCCCATGGTCGATTGCTCCTAGGGATGTATCTCCATAGAGCAGGAGGGTGCATCACCCTGGGTTGAGTGTTCTGCATGTAAGTCTTACTAATGTTGGATTGGACTGAAAGCCAGCCCTTGGGAGTGAATTTTATCCCAGGCTCAAAGTGTATCCCAGGACCATAGTCTTGGGGGGTACCCCCCAGACTCCATCCAACCATTAATTCTGGTCATTTATTGTGTTTTTTAGTTTTGTTCCACATTTTTCCTCCCACTCTATCCAAGATCTCCAGTTTTGATCCTTCCCGTGTGGTTGGCATTGGCAACTGGGCACCATCTAGTTCTTCTGGTCTTGAAGTCCATTGTATCCTAGGACTGATTGTTTCCAAATGCCCTTGGTTTTCTTCACTCTTCTTCAGACGAGAGGAGACCATTAGCTACATCTTAGATGGCCACTGGAAAGCTTTTAAGATCCCAGAAGAAGAGACACTTTAGAGTAGCCATTGGGAGGATGAAGACTAGGACTCAGTTGATGGACAGAAAATGAACTAGACCAGATAAGGTGCGAATAGTTAGGCACTCAGCTACTAACTAAATGGTTAGTGGTTTGAACCCACCCAGTGGCTGTGCTGGAGGAAGACCTGGCAGTCTACTTGCATAAAGTTTACAGCCAAGATAAGCCCAATGGAGCAGTTCTACTCTGTCACATGGGGTCATTAGGAGTCAAATGGACCCAATGACACCTAACACCACAACTTCTTCCAGCCATGCCTTGTCATTCCAGAGGTTGCAATGTGGAGGGTGTTGGACAGATGTACTGGAATGGTAGGGCAGCACTGGCGGGAGAGGAGGATAAAGAGAACCTGGAAAGGATACCTGGGACCCAGGAGAGACAGGAGTAGTCTCTGGGGTGTGGATGTATGGAAGAGGAAGGCAGGCAAATGATTGTCATTAGAAATTGGAGCATGCTAAATTGCAAAGGCAGGTGGTGATCTTCATAGCAATGGAGGGGGCAGGCAAGGAAGGGAGGTGCAGCTGTGTTCTAGATGTCTGTGGACTGTGAATGTTTCTAGTCATTATCCCTAACATTGACTCACTTTGCCTCCACCGGAGGACACTGCTGTGGAAAGCCCTGGCTCTCACCCTCCATGCTCTAGCTAAGAGACACCTCCAGGGACGGAAGTCAAGCAGCTGGTGGGGACAGCAGACTTTGTTCATTGCAACTTGATCCGATCCACTTGCACTATTGGCTCAAAGTCCCTGATTTGCTTCAGAGATGGTTTTCTATCATTTAAGTGCCATCAACACTAACAGCAAAGTAGCTCACTGGCTGGCTCCCTGCTCTCCCCACCTGCCAGGCCCAGCACCTGCAGCTCCCCCTGGAAAGGACAAGGGATTACTATCAACCCCCACAGAGGTGGTGGTAGGGTGTCCTCCAAGCCTAAAGGAAAGGTGAGGTGTAGGCAAGGGAGAAGCAAGATGATTGAGGTCCATTTGGCTACTGGAGAGACCACAGCTGAATCTCTTGCTGGGAAGAAATGAAACCAGGTCGTCTCCCACTCACCATCTCCAGCTGGTTTTGGAATGCAAAGAGACATAAGCAAAGGCAGACACATATGTACACAGATGCAGAGAGAGACACACAGACAGCTACACAGAACAGAGGAACATACAGCTGCTCACAGGAATCGGCGTTTAGGTAAGAAGCTTAGACACATGCAAAGGCACACCTGGACCTGCTCATTGGGACAAAGACACATGCCCCCACATGTCTGCACACAGCAGTTTCTTTCCCATGGAGTAGCCCTGGTGTGAGTAGAGGCAGGCCCCTCTCTTCCAGGCCTCACCCCTTCCCCTTTGTGTTTTTCCAGGTCGTGACATGGCGAGCACCACTCTGCCTGGTTACCCCCCTCACGTGCCCCCCACTGGCCAGGGAAGCTACCCTACCTCCACCTTGGCAGGAATGGTGCCTGGTAGGTCACAATGCTACAGCTGCCTGATCTAGGAGGGGGAAACTAAATCATGGGTGAGCTGCTGTGTGGTCTGTAGTGTGAGGCTTGGGGTGGGAAAGGAACCAACATCCCCTCTCCCCAAACCAGGCCTATTCTGTCTCTTTTCCTAGAGGCTGCAGTTGGTCCCGCCCCCTCCCTCATGAGCAGCCCAGGGAGGGAGCCTGCAGAACTGCACCTTTGTGTGCACCCCCACTACGTGGCATGGCCCCTCCACAGTGCCCACCCACCCAGGCCTATATGCCTGGGGAGCCCTCAGCTCCACCCTCAGTGCCCAGCTCACCCCAACCAGCTGACACTGCTTGGAAGAGCCTGTCCTGGTTTCCATGGAAACTTGGAGCCAAAGACTATCTCCAGGGGCATGTCAGTCACTCAGCCAAAGCTACCCTGGTCCACAGCAAGCCCCAGGGGAAGGCCAGTGCTGAGAAGTGACCCCACGCCAGCGAGGAGGAGGTAGTCCCTAAGGAAAGGGAACAGAGGACAAGCTATGGCAGGGGCCAGAGAGACTTTGGCTTCAGGGAGACTAGCTAGGGCACCCTATGTCTTCTCAGAGGAACCCAGGTCTCCATTGCTCCTCCAGGGCTCTAGCTAGCCCATCCCTTGTTTGAGAGAACTTGGATTTGGGCTGCATGGATCAGAGGCAGAGGCTGTATTTAGGGTCTGGTGACTACAGCTAGAGGTGGTGCTGCCCCTAACCCTTCACCCCAGACTGAGAGCAGTGCTTGAAGTTAAAGAGAGTTGAAACTCCTATTCTTATAAATACCAAAAGAAATTCTTGCCTTAAAGAAAGACTCACTGGATCTGCAAGCCACTCTTTCTGGCCACCCTTTCTGTGCCCTTTCCCTGAAGCTCAGCTCTCACGGGGGGGAGGGAGGTTAGAAGAGGGGGATTTGCCCCATCCCTGGCCCATCCATCCGTCCATCCAGGGACAGCCCTGAGCAAGCAGAGCTTGAGGGGGTTGTGCTGGCAAAGAGGGAGATTGCTGCAGGGCATGTATTGTAGGACAGGGGTGAAGGGAGTTAGAGGAACTGAGTAAGGAGAGCAGGGAGGTGGGGGCGAGGAGAGTCCAGACCAGATTTGGGGGAGGAGAAGTAATGGGGGGCGGAAACAGGAGATTCTTCAGGTGAGTGGGATGAGAGGTGGAGGCTGGAGAAGGTCTTGGCAGGTGGGGATGAGGGGAGCCTGGAGGTGGGGGTGGGGAGTCTGCAAGGGAGGTGGGGATAAGAGGAGCCGCAGAGAGCTCATGGTGGCAAGGGGGGAGTCGTTAAACAGAATCTAGTGCTGATGAGGAAATTACACTTGTTTCATTAGCGATGGGGAAGGAGATAGCTCAGTTCCTCTTGGTCACAGTTGAGCTCAGAAGCTCATTATCCTGCTGCACGCATGCTTTCCCTCCTCGTCAATAAACAGGCTTTCCAGTGGCTGCATCCCCCACCCCCACTCCAGCTCCCTCTCTGAGAGGGGCCCCTTCTCCTCTACTTAACCCGCGGTTAGGGATCACTGTAAACAGTCTGGGGTCATCACACAGGAGAAAGGGCGAGGGGGAAACCCGGAGACCTGGCCTTTCTCTCGCGAAGAGAGGCGGCTTCCGACGGCTCCGGCCCACGGGGCCCCAGGCTCACTGCTCTGCTGGCGGGCAGTTCACCTGCTTCCCGCCGCCTCCTCCCCCTGCTGCGTGTCCCACGGATCGGGCTTCTCAAGGGACAGGTGGGAGGGGGTGCTTCCCAGCAGAGCCCCCACTCCCTGCATTGGCACCGTGCTGAGACGCCATTTTTAAGAGTTTCTGGGACAAACAGTCCGGATGGCTCTTCTGCACCACCCTCCTCCGCTTCCGCCCAGTAGGGCGGAGTCTCCACCAACCAGGCCTTTGCCCCCAAACGCAGCGAGGTGGGCGCACGCTGGTCCAGAGCTAACCCTGCCTCAGGGGAGCTCCGGCCGGGCTCTCAGGTCCCCCCACGCCGGTGTGCGAGGCGCGTCGGTGCTTTTGGCCCTCCCCGGGGCCTCCCCAACGCGGACTCGACGGATTGCCCGCCTCGGCCGGACCAGCACGCCGACGGCTGGCTTCGCTCCGCTGGTGGCGTGCGAGGCTGATTGCTCTCCTCCCTGCAGGGAGCGAATTCTCCGGCAACCCGTACAGCCACCCCCAGTACACGGCCTACAACGAGGCTTGGAGATTCAGCAACCCTGCCTTACTAAGTGAGTACGCCACCTGGCTGGCCGGCGGCTCAGCGCGCCTAGTGGCTCGCCCGCCCGGCGCATTGTGCGGGGCGTGGGCTCCGCTCAGGCCACACGACCTCGGAGCCGGGCCCGGCCCGGCCGGCTCCGTTAGTGCAGCGCCAAGGCCCCGGGATCCCACGAGGACGCCCGCGCCTCCCGCCCCTCTCCTCCCTCCTCGGTGACTGGAAGGTTCAGCGTTGCCCTCGGCCCCCCTGGAGTGTCCGTAGCGGGTCGGCCGAGGCAGCTGCTCGAGTTCGGCTTCTGCCCAGTGAACAAGCAGTTCTCCTTGGGGCCAATTGGCCCTGCCGCCCAGCCAAGGTCTTCCCGCCCAGCTCCCGCAGACCCCAGCCCAGGGAGGTCTTTTCGTTGTATTTCTTTCCTTTTTTTTTTTTTTTTTGCTGTTTGTCTTCTCACCCAGCCCATTCTTCTCCTGTGTTAACTTCCAGGTTCCCCTTATTATTATAGTGCCGCCCCCCGGGGCTCCGCCCCTGCCGCTGCTGCCGCTGCCTATGACCGCCACTAGTTACCGCGGGGACCACATCAAGCTGCAGGCCGACAGCTTCGGCCTCCACATCGTCCCCGTCTGATCGCCCACCCCGGAGGGAGGGAGGACCGGCGCGACGCGATGCCTCCCGGCCACCGCCCCAGCCCCACCCCATCCCAGGACCCCGCAGCCCTTCAGGCCGCCCCCGTCGGAGGCCGGACAGGACGGGCGGTGCCGCGGGCGGGACCCTCAGGCCGGGCCCGCTGCCCCTCCCCGCCCGCAGCCCCTGCCCGCCTGCCTGGACGCGCGGCCGCTGGAGGGCAGGCCCGCGGCCCCGCGCGCGCGCCGCACGCGTCTCTGTGACACACAATCAGCGCAGACCGCAGCGCGGCCCGGTCCCCGCGCAGCCCGCCTGGGACGCTCGGGCGCCGGGAGGCTTCGCCCGAGACCGCCTGGGCAGAGGAAATGAACAAAGTGATTTTTCTGCGGAAGGAGGGAGAGCTCCTTGCCGAAACCCCCAAGGAGAGGCAGTGCCCGGTGCGCAGCCGAACTGCCTTCGCCTTCGTGCCGGGGAAGGCGGACTGGGGCCTTGAGGGCCGGGTTCTGAGAGCATCAGGTCTTTGCAAGATTGGAACCCAAGGCACGCAGGCCCCAGCTCGCGCCACACGTTGGATTCGGCCCCTCTCCACCTGGGCTGCTCAGTTCAGGCCCAGGCACCTCCGACGACGTGGCCGACTCTCCGCCCCGCCTTCAGCGTCTCTTCCAGCTGCTGGCCCCCCAGTGCCCCTCTCCTGCAGGCTCTTTTCCCCTCCCACGACCTCCTGCGTCTCTCCTCGCCCATCGCCGCCCCATCGGAGGCAGGACCAGTTCCCGTAGGCCGCGGGCACTGGTCCTCCGCGAGCAGTTACTAGACGCCTCCCCCATCCCAGCCCGGACACGAACTCAAGGTGCCCAGCGGAGCTGGGGCGTCTAGGGGGCCGTGGGGGGGCTGCCACACCCCGCCCCCGGCCTCCTTCTCAGGCAGGGGCTGAACAGAAGCGCGAAAGGTCTCCATTTATTTAATATGATGGTCTTTGCAACAAGGAAAACATACACAAACCCCACCGGCTGCTGCTTTGTGAGAAGACCGTGCGTGTCGCGCGCAGGCGAACCCTGTGTACATAAGCCCGCCCTTGGCCCCGCCCCGCCCGGTAGAGTCCCGCCGCCCGCCGGCCCTGCCTGTAGATACGCCCCGCTGTTTGTGCTGTGAGAGTCGCCGCTCGCTGGGGGGAGGGGGGGACGCAGCTACACGCCCACTAAAGCACAGCACGTCCTGGGGGAGGGGGGCATTTTTTATGTTACAAAAAAGAAAAAAAAAATTAAGAAAGAAAAGAAATCTCTATGCAAAATGACGAACATGGTCCTGTGGACTCCTCTCGCCTCTGCTTTGTTGGCTGTTTCTCGGTGATTCCGTGTTCTCGCTCTCTCTCCCCAACATCTCTTCCCGCCCCGCATCTCGCCCCGCTCCACCTCTCTCGCCCTCTGCATCTCTCGCCCTCTCAGTCCCTTCTTCGGTCTCTCTAGGCTGTCTGTCCGTCCCGCCCCCGGCCTCTCTCCCAGACCCGTCCCGGCCGCCTGGCCCTCGCAGGCTCGCTCCAAGCGGGCCGCCCCACCGCGGCCCGGGCCGCCCCGCGCGCCCTGGGGCCCCCCAAGGCCGGGCCGCCCCGCCCCGCCCAGTAGTTGCTCTCTCCGGTAGCGGCGATGCGCCCTGCATGTCTCCTCACCCGTGGATCGTGACGACTCGAAATAACAGAAACAAAGTCAATAAAAGTGAAAATAAATAAATAAATAATAAATAAAAATCCTTGAACAAACCCGACAAGGCTTGGAGTCCTCGCCCAGCTCTCTCTCTCCCCTTCGAGCCTTTTTCTTTGAAAAAGAAAGCGAGAAAAGAAAATAGTTGAAGGAAGCTGCCGGCGCCCAGCCAGGACCCAGTGGCTCGAGCGGGGATGGCGAGGGCGCTGAGGTCCAGACTCTGAGGCCCGGCCTATCCCAGCCCATGCGGGGTTGGCCTGGTAGGGACCTTGGACCCAGGACCAGGCCGAACCCTTGAAAGGTTTCCCGCCGCTTCTGGTCTCCTCGGCCACTTTCAGCGCGTCAGTT